CGGGGCACAGCACCCCTCCTCTCGCCTGAGTTCTTTCATTTTTGCAACCAGGACCTGTTTTGGGGGTTTGTTTGGTTTTTTTTTCCCCAGCACGTTTCCCGGTGTCCTGGGGAGTTACTTCGGCTTCACCAATTATCTTCTCTACCTGCTGGACATGTGGGGCTTTTCTCTCTGTCACACTTTACGTCTTGTACTTGTTTCCTACATTTCACATTGCAGTTGTCTTCCTCTCTGTGCTTCTGTGTATGGTTTTTCTCAGCTATTTCATTAAATGCCAATTGCTAATTTTGCTGTTAGAATTTATACCGTGCTATAAGATGCTTACACAGAGTGGCTGGTTACATTATCTTAGCGTGCCTATGTCTGTGTTGAAGACAAGCCTTATATCTTGCTTAACTTGCTTCTGTTTGTGTGCAGCGGGCCACCACTTTGACCACCTTGTTCAGCCACAGTGGTGAACGTCCCTGTTGGCGTCCTCTTGAAGGACTGTGTGTTTACTGGAGGGAAAATGTCAAGAAAATATCATCCCGGGGAGGTTGCCAAGACTTACTCTAGACCTGTATGCCCTCAGACGTGAGTCACTGGGCAGGCTTTCCCCCAGCAGGTTCCCAAGACTTACTTCAGTTATGTATGTCCTCAGACATGAAGAATTGGACAGACTTGCCCCCATCAGCTGCCATCTGCTGCTGTGGACCACAAAAAATGGAGAGCAGCTGTTGTCTTTTCCCGAACCTTCTCTGAAAGGAGGGCTCCAGCAGCACCGTCGACCTGCAGGGCTGCTCCCCTGCGTAACGCTTCTCACCGGGCCAGGGCCCAAACACCTCTGCAAGTGCCGCAGGAGCTGGCGAGGCCTGGGCTGGGGGAACGGGTTGCCTGCGCTGCTCTCCGGGCTGCACTTCTAACTCCTAAGGGGAGTCTTGGGTCTTGGCTCACCCTCGGGTGAGTGTGGGCACGTTCCCTTAGCGTTTGCCATGAGCCATTCAAAGTCCTGAAAATGAAGAGCAGCGAGAGACAAGTTCTAAATTCTTCATCTTTGTGTGTCTGTATCTCACCTGGAGAAAGGTGAACGTTGCCTGAAATTGAGAGGAACGAAGTGGAAGGCATGGGACTTCTGTCCTGGGACAGAAAGGAGGCAGGAAAGGAAAAGCTATTTCTAGGTGCATGGGAAGGGACTCCTAGCTCTAACATTTGGGCCATTCCTATGGCTCACACTGGAATTGAAAGTGCCTCCAACACAGGCTAAGAGAACCCACTCTTCATTAGACCCGGTGATAGGAATTCCTTCTTACCTTTGTATCCAAGATCTTGTGAGAGAGAGAAAATCCCAGTCTTGACATCTCTACTTGAGTCTAGGTCTCATAATCTGAGGTTGCCTCATGGAGAAGGAAGGAAATGCACAGGAAAGAGGACACAAAATAAACCAAGAAGAAGAAAAATAAAAGCGAGAAATAATAAAGCAATTCTGCAAAGCCCAGAATCTGATTGGGGGCGGCCAGAATCCAGGTGCCCTCACGCCTTGATGCCCAGGCACAGGGGCTTTAGCAAAGCAGAGCAAAAATGCTTGCTGGGAAGACAGGGCTGGCTAGCCTCAGCTGGGTTCCTGAGTTCCTCTCCCTCTGCCTGGTGGGAGCCGTCCTCTTCACATCTAGTGCAGCAGTTCGGAGGATGCTGGTTTTGGTTGCCGGCGCGTACCCAAGTGACCTGCAGTGACACACCAGGAGTTACAGGCAGCGCGTGCTCCTGGAGATCAGAGGGGACAACCAAGGGCTTTGCCCTAAGACCTTGGCTACAGTAGTTCAAGTTGTGGCTAAATCATCACCTTACCTTCAACGGTGACCAGCCGCCAAGGTCAGTGCTCGAGGAGTTGTGCATTCTCCTCTGGGGACGCCTAATCGGGTGAGGGACGTATCCTGGCACTTAAAGTAGGCAGAGTGGGACTTACGCTGCGAGCAGTCACTGTGCCTTCCCACGGCGTGCCTGGGGACTTCGTGTCCGTCTGCTTGGCTAGAGAGGTAACAAGCCTTTCCTTTTCCACATGCAGCCTCCAGCACTGTAATCCAGATCAAAACTTTAAGTGTGTACCGTTCTGTTGAATGCAGAATGCTGTAGGCATAATTTTTAGAACTTACTCACGTTGGAAGACGAGATTTGGATTGTGTAGCCCTTCATAACATGAAAAATCTGCCTAGATTTCATAATCATATCTAATTATTACTTTATTTTGTCACTGTATATTTACGCTTGTCTCTGCTGTAGAGTATCTTTACAAATGGAGTATCTTTACAAATAGTTAAGAGAAAATAACTGGGTTTGTTTTCTAGTTATGACCCAGTATTTTGGTTTTATTTCCTCTCTCTGTGTTAGGTGACACCTCTTGAGTAACTCTGCAACTCAACCAGAATGTGATTGCTTTAGGATAAGTTATGAGATTTTTAAAACGCATTATTAAATCAAAGCCAACAACGATTATAGAACTGTGATACTAGAAAATAGTAGTAAGAATTGGTCACACATTAAAAATCCCCATCTACAGATACAGGTATAGACATACTGTTAGAGAAAGGGACAGATTTAGCAGTATTTGGGCAGCTGTAAATACATAAGAGGATGAGGCTAAGCAGCATTTCATTTTAAAGCTGCAGAGGTTTTCACTACTCTTAAAGCTGTGGATGATGTGCCGTGCAGCTGCCGCTGGTTTGAGGGGACGAAAAGAAAGAAGAGGGGAGCAGCAAAAGGTCTGAAGGAAAGCCAGGCTCAAAAGCCCTTTCCATTCTGCCTGCGAGTCTGTACCTGCCTCTAACAACTGGCTGCAGGTTTCCACCTTTTATTATCACAAGGTCTATTCAGCAAGCAAATGTCTGATTATGGTATAGCAGTTCTGACACTCTTCTGTTGTCACATGCTCTCATAATCGATTTTGTTTGAGAATGGGCATGACATAACTTCTTGCTCATCACTCAGTCTTTTCATCATTTCCTTTACCTTCTGGCAGTGCTTGGATTTGTCAACATCTTGGGCTCTCGTTTGCGTCTTCCTGAAATACGATAAGCGCTCACAAAAAATCTGCAGAGGAAAAGACAAGGAATTAACCATTCCGCAGAATTTAATGTAACTGGATAGGATTTCATGAAGACAAATCTACAAAACAAAAATTGATCGGTCACTTATGCAATTGATGTAGTTACTCTGCTTCTAAGCTGTTATATTGATGTGTGTCTTCTCCTGTTCCTTCATCAGGAATATAATCTTTTCATTACTATATACGCATATAATAATACCTCTGAGGGAGGCCTCAGGGTGCTCCATGCTATTTTACCCTAGACGAGAAACTTCCAAAGTAGCCTCAGATTCAAATTCTCACTCTTGTGGTTCACCAGTACAGACAGAAAAAGGAATATGCACATTTCTGATGTACTGTTAACGAAAAAAAATCCCTTTCAAATGGTCTTTTATTCAACTTCTGATTTAAAATTTTTTAACTGCAATGTTTTGTTGAATTTCATCATAAAGATTGCTTGTTATCCGTGCAAACTCAGGGACTCCGTTTCAGGTGGTTGACTGCAGGATTGAGGGGCGTATTCACAAATGCATAGAAATCCCACTAACTTCATCCTTCGACCATGTCCTGAGCTTTGATGCTAAAACAGCTAAGCGCTTGTTTCTCTATTTCTTCCCTTTCAGAACGCCAGTACTGGGGCTCGGACCTGCAACTTCCCAAAATACCTTTTGAAGACATCATGTACAATGATGAAAGTGCGTACAAGTGGCTGTGCACCCTAAAGAAAGTAGGAATCGTGCTACTCACAGGAGCTGCTACTAGGCAGGGAGAGTTGGTTAAACTTGGCCACAGGATTGGGTTCCTGCGTCTCACTTTTTATGGGTGAGTTTGGTTTTTCATATCCTTGCTTTGCCGGCTATGTAATCACCTCTAATATATTTCACTTCAGCTTGCTGGACCTCTTTTGTGAATTATCTTATTAAAACAAGGTGCATTTTTTTCTTCTCTGCGTGTTAGAAAATGTGGTGTCAATTAATATTCTGTATGAGAGGATTGCTTTGCTATCACAGGCAGGGTACTTAAAGAGCAGCAGCTATAACATTAACTGCTGAGAGAAGGAAAAATGCCTGAAAACAGATGATGTCAAATAAAAGATAACCACAAGACAGCCGTACTTATCTATACCATGGAGAAAATCAAAAATCCCTAATCCAGTCCCCTTCTGAATAGAGGAAGTTATCTGTACTGAAACTTTTTCTTAGCCTGACTTTGAGTCATGGAAATAGGTAAGACTTAGATGATGTTATTGTGTCTCACATCACCGAGAAGATGGGCAGAGTACCCATTTCCCTGCTTTCAACTGAGTCTGCTTTGGAAAGCCACGACCAGGCCCAGCAAGCACTTTTTTTAAAACTGCTTTTTTGCAAAAGTAAGAGCTCAGCCTGCAGGAGTGCAGGCAGGAACTTGTAAATCATCCTTTTGATGCCAAGAGGTGGTAAACTGAACCTCTACCTCCTCAAGCACCTACTAGGCGAGTAAACAAATGATGATGGTAGCTCACGTCTCGCTCTGTTGGTATAATTTTTTGCGATGTATATAAAAAAAAAACCTATTCTGAAAAAAAAAAAAAAAGAGAAAATAGATAGTAACATTTAAACATAATTGTGATTTCTTGGTGCCTGAATAGCCACCAAAACCAGAACATTCAAGGTTTCCCATCTGAAAAGCTCCTTTCTCCCCCATAATAGAATAAAAGATAATAAAAATCATGGCAAGAGTTCTCCTTCACTTGGATTTACCTCTAGTTCAGAGAATAAGCAAACAAACCATGTGCGCGATAACCAGTGTCTCCTCCTTTGTCTAAAAAAATCTAAAATAAATAGAAGCGGGAAAAAAATTCCAACCTTGGCCAGAAAGACCACATTCCCTCAAGACTGCAAATCAGAAGGAAAGATCTTCTGTTCCTTGACACTCCTGTGTGAAGGCATATACGAGCCCTGCTGGAATATGCAATGCAGGTGAGGGTGGCAAGAGCGGCACCGTGACACCAGGAGACACACATTAACTCAGAACGTTAATTGTGAGGTGGCAGGGGGGAAGGTGAGCAAAAGGTCCCTTCTTCAAGCTATGATGCCTATTAAGACATTTTGTTACATCTTCATTTTGCAAGTATCGTTCTGTCATCAGCTATGGAAAAAGATGTCATTGATGCTGCCGGCTTTTAGATTTAGTGAACAATTTCTAACAGGCAGAGAAATAGCTATTGTGATATCCTAGCAACTTCTAGCAGTGTATAAGGTGCTTCTTACCCAATATCCACCCTTCATTTTTTGTTTCATTTATGTTGAAAGTCAACCTGTTTGTGCAGAACTTATCCTCACGCTTCAAATCAGGAAAGCTGGCTCAAGAAACCTTCTAGAAATCACAGAAACTGAAGTGAACTCACAGCACGTAGAACAGCCTGTGAGAATGTAACTTTTTTTTCCTCCCCTCTATTGCGTTCCAAAAAGAAGGGATGGAGAGAATAACTGCTTTAAAATGCTTTGGATATTATGAAGCTTTTGTCAGTTCCAGCAGCCATGATAAATATTTGCAAAGCTTTAAAGGGAGTAATGTATAAATGTACTAGGGTAGTTAAGATAATGTACTTTCATTAAGGTGTGGTTTCCTCTTTCTGCTTACTGGGCCAGAAGGAAAAGTGGTTTTCAAAGTTAACTGGGATTCAGTCAGGTTAATCCTACTGAAATAAATGGGAGCAGAACTCGATTCAGAAACCTCATCCAGTACTATGAAACATTTCCTACCGTTAAAAGCATTCCTAATGTCAAGCACTTCTATGTTTAGCAGTGTGCTATGGTCTCAATTTAAAACTTGCATCATTATGAAAATAGTACTGCTTTCTATTTCTGCTTTGACGTGATCCTATCAACAGATACTAGGAGATTCCTGGGGGTATCCAGCCCCGATCATATCTGAGGGTGTTTCCCAGCTCTCTAGGGTATCTGAAGGATGAAACATTCATTCTGTTTGTATCCAGACAGCTGCACAAGCATTTTGAGTTAGGAACAAATATAGCGAGCCCCAGATAACAACAAAAAATTTTGGTTCTTTGTTAAAGCATACCACTAAAAGAAAATGTATAATATCTCCAAAATACCTCAGGGGAGAGGGAAAAACAAAAAAGCCCAAACAACAACACCCTCCCCCCGCCCCCCATACAACACCTTCAACATATACCATGGATTAAGTTACAACAGAACTTTTAGTTGCTTTTCTAAAAGTTTCAGGGAAGAACTGGATCTAGAAGAAGTTCCTAGATCCTAAAACTGGAAATAATCTTTAAACCTGGAATAATGTTCTTGACATGGCAGCCCACTCTTTCACCTGTTGTCCATCTGCTGAGCCCTATGACATGTTTTTCACTAAGGCATTCAGAAGTTTTTGATATTTAACTCAGCAGCATTTTAAGACAAAAAGATTCTACCATTCTGCCTGGTACTCTGCCTCAGCTCTTAATCATCCTCGCTGTTTAAAATTACTGCCGACTGTCTGTCTGAAACTGTCTGCAACATCCAGCTTGTGATAACTCTGCTATGTTTAAGCGAGACTGAAAAGTCCCTTACTGTATAAATGTGCATTAACTGTTAGGATATACTTTCCTTGTCTAAGTTCAGCTAACAAGAGATTCAGACTGCCCTAGGGAGACTGGCCAGTTTATCAGTTGTGTAATCAGAATGATTTTTTTTCCAATTAAAAAAAGTTAGTCTTGCCCCTCACTGACGCTTCCCTAACACGATTATAAACAGTAACAATCATAAAATGCTTCACCTTGTTTAAAGTCAGCTTGAATTAATGCTTACTCTCTTTAAAGTTGGATTCAATAAAAGTAATTTGTCAGGATGAGTTCTGAGATAGATAGATAGATAGATAGATTTAAAAGTGTTTTAATACATTCTACAAATGTCTCCCGCCCATTGATGTTCCATACAAGATCAAGGTTGAAATGTGACCTTGGTCCACACCATTTGAGCAAGTAATGGTTAGAGCTCCTTTCACTGTTTAAAGCAGATTTACGACTGGTGTTGATTAAACCTTACTTTTATGTTTCCTTAAGTATTAGGGTTCACAGTAAAGGAACGATAAAAGGCTGTAAGTCTCCTTGCTTTTCCAAAACCTATTTGCTAATTCATGTATTTATCAGGCTGCAGAAAGAGGGTTTCAATGTTACGGAAATTTTCCAATTGACTAAGAATTCTGCATTTAAAAGAAAACATACTTAGAATATTTTGTTTAGTTGAGTTTTGGGTTTTGTTTTTTTTTTTTTGCTTTTTTGCTTTTTAAACACAGCTGTGGTATTTGAAAGTCTTGAAGTCTGGTTTACATCATCCCAATTGAGCTACCGTGTTAAATTTACTCTAGGTCATTTGACAGTTGCTAATTATGTTTTTGTATATGATTAGGTTGAATTTGCAATATTAAATTAAAATCTGAAGAGTATAAGGTCAAAGAGAGCCTGATATCCAAAGACCAGTTTTGCAGACCAGTCTGGATTTCAAGTAACAAAAACCAGCTCTGCCACAGGGTGAAGTCAACAAGCTACGTACAGACCAATGTCCAGCTCTGAAAAAAAGAGTGTCTGCTCCCGTGCTAAAGGAAAGGCAAAGCTATAAAAGGGGGAGGATCCGTATGGTACAATAAGCATATTAGCAGAGCCAAGACTTTCGGGGGGAGAGCCAAGACTGCTGAACGCACTTTCCTTTTCAGAATATGTTGCCAACTTGCAAGGAGAGAAAGTAACACAAAGGCAGCCTGCTCTGGAGTTCGGAGCCAGACTCAATGAGCTGATTTGCTTTATTTGTGCTATTCCTTACGTCTTGGCTTTCATTTCTCCAGTTCAGAGATCAGACACTGTTGAGCTGTCTCCAAGATGCACTGTAAGGATGCCTTTGTTAAGGCTATACAGTAAAGGCAAATACAACACTCACAGTAATACAAAGGTAAGCTTCCAGAACTGTACAGCACCATTATCCCGCCCAGGAGATGTACAAGATGAAGGATGCTGCCTGCCATGGAGGAGTTCTGGCATTAGATGAAGTCTATAGGAAGCATCGTCTGTTAGCATGTGTATGTTTGACAGACCACTGTATGGTTTGAGACACTGCTGCTGAGCATTGCCTTCTCAACACATGGTGATGTTAATGATTAACATCTTTGAAATTTTTAAAAAATTACTCTTTAGATCATGTTTTTTCCTCAAGAGCCCTGTTTAAAAAAACCCAACCAACCAACCAAAAAAAAATTGGGAAGGAGGAATTCCTCATGTACTGGAAAACACAAGCAGTATCATGCATAAACTTTGTATTGTTACGTGTAGTGGTTTAAGAAATTATCCAGAAAGTACTTAAAAAAAGAAAAAAGTCACAAAACTAGTTTCAAATGTTTTAATACAGATGTGTATGAAGTGATAACATGCTAAACACATCAGAATATAGAGAACTGTATTCAAACAGCTTAATAACCCCCTGTTTGTTAAATGTGTAATTCGTCACATGAAGTCTTGAAAAAGACTCATGGTTTGGGCTTATTTTTAATATTTATGTGGGGTTTTTTAAAGTGTTTTATAAGGAACAAGTTTCTTATTTTTTACCATGTATAGCTGGAACCCAGCCTAAAAATATTATGAAAGAGAAAAGCCGTGTTTCCCTATAGTATCTTTTCTCCTAATTTAACCTGTTTCATTTTCAGATATAGTTATTGTAATGCCTGGTCTTGGTGCTCCTACATATTTCTTGCAGTAGCAGAAACTCCGTTGAGTTTTCAGTCTTAAAAACAGACCTAGAGCAGCATTTTACAGTCCATCTCTTCACCTCTAAAACAGAAGTTCATTTCTTACTGGCATCCAATTCTGAGGTGGCTTTTACAACTGTAATAAAATAATAACTTCGGGTAATTCCCTTTGCTATTTCACTAGCAGCCAAATAGCAGACCTACCAAATATTATAAATAAAAGGATAAATTTGGAATCGGCACACTTGCCAAATAAAACATTACCTCAACAACGCCATGAATTTTAAACAGAAATGTAACTGTAATGAATATAACCCTGACAAATGGAAAAACAAAAGTCTTTTTTCTTGTCTAGATGTCTGTTTGGTACATGCTACCTAAAATGTCATTACTGTAAAAAGTGGAAGCATTCTCTCTATCAGCCATACAATAACAACAAGGGGCTCCAGACTTTTAAATTAACCTTTCTCTTTACATTATGGCAGCACAACTACATTAACAAGGTCTCCAAGTCACACCGCAGTTCATTTCTCCAAATACCATGCCCTAGCCCTTGTGCTCCTCCCCTCTTCTGAAGCCACGTCCGGGGCTTGGGGCGGCATGAAGGGCTTCCTGCGGGGCCCCAGCACCCCCAGGGAAACAGCCAGACCGTCTGCACCTCCCAGAGGGCTTCAGCTGCAAGAGGAGGACGGGGGTCCCAAATCTCTTGTGAACGAGACTTTAATAAAGTGCAAGACCAGATGATTCAAGTGAGGCTTCAGTTCCTAGTGCAGCCGTTCTGCAAGACTGAGGATGTAACAGACAGACCCGTTTTCTGCTCAGGGAGACTGAGCCCACATTGCCACTTCATGCAAAAAATTGCTACACCCGCCTGGTGCCAAATTTCCTCCTCTGTCAAACAGCCTGAGCACCTGATGTTGCAATCTGACTCTAATTGCTAAACCATAAACCATTCCACCCCGCTTTGCTCTCCATAAGGGCCAAGAGTCCTCTGACATTACCCACGTTTTCTTCCTTGACTTCTCCTGCGCTCTCCCCGTGACCGAGTTGATACCTCAGCTCAGTTGAGGCTTTGACAAAGTAAGGTTGATTTTTTTCACATTCAGCGCTGAGCTCCCTATTAGCATCGCTGACTTCAAGTCAGTAACTTGAGCTTTGACCGAAGCTCCTTGCGTGGAAGGAAAGCTCCCGGCGACCAGCTCCCCTCGCAAAGTGTCACAGCACGGAAGCACTGAAAGCTTGTGCAAAACCTTACAATGATTTTATAAAGTACTACCATTACAGCAATTGTATATATTGCAGATACATGAGACAATTAAAATGTGTTAAATTGTCTTAGAACCATCAAGTGACACTGGAGTCTTTTAAATTAAAGAAACAGTGAACGTAGCTACCTTCAACACCAATGACAAGGATGATGTAACGGGCTATTTTTTGGCTCTAAAATTGGGAACTACAGAAGTGTGGTTGAAATTATCATACTTGCGTACTGAAGTCATGTACTGATGAATATGTGCTGTACCAAATAATAAAAATTATTTCTCCCCGGTGGTTAAACACATTTGCAAATATTCAAGGGGGTTTTCTCTCTGGCAATTTCAGAAATTTAGTTTTAGAGCATTTTGCATAGTTTCTGTACTAAATACCAGTCCTAGAACAAAAGTGTTTGTATACTGTATATAAATAATTTTGGTCTGCATGTTCTTTAGCCTATTTTCTTCTTAAACTATTGTTAAGAAGTAATGCTAGACACACACCATCTGAAACATAATATATTTGGTCTATAGTACTCCACAAGGGAAAATGAGTTTCATATTTTCTTTTAAATCACTTATGCTCCTGTGATTACATGGACAGCGTATGGTGACTGACGCTTTTCCAGACAAATGTCTGGATCTATAACATGCATCTGCTGAGGACAGTCTTCAATCATGTGAACCCTGTACAAACAAACCGCGTGTCTTAAAGTCTCCTGCACGGTGTGTCACTTAAAACAGATTTTGATTGTCCTGCAACATGATGTATTCATGTCTTTGTCATGTAACTAAGACTCTTTTTTCCCCTGCAGTTGCCAGTAAACTTTCTTACAGAATTTTGTCAAATTTCAAGACAGAAACTATGTAACAAAATAAATGGAGGTAGTTCTCAGAGCATCAGAGAAAGGGAAGAAGTTACAAAGTCTTTCATCGAGACATTTTCCTTTAGCGGCAAGTCTTCAAGTTACAGGAAAGATCCCCCTGCAAAGGATACTCTATATTTTCTAAGATCATAAAGCTTTAAAAATAATTTTTGGGGAAAGTTACATAGCATTTAACAATTTTATATTTCATTGATAATGTGCTCCACCTAGCAGGGAAAAATGGAAGGTTGATAAAAATAAATGGGCCAACTTCCGCTCTCTTATTTCTGAAGCCTCAGTAGTAAGACGATGATTTATCCTAGCAGATACCTCTCGGTCACTGTCTTCAACTGATCTTTGCGTTCAGCAAAGTACCGCCCCCGGAAAGCCATCGTTCTTCTAGATGCTGCACTGGGGCCAGATGTCCCTTGGCACGCATAAGTTTCTAGCTTGAATCTAGGGCTGCTGAAGTCAGCCGTCTTTGCTGGGGTGGGGGGACACTACTAAATCGTTATTTCCTTATAATTTTACAAGATTTTCATGTTCAAAGATGGAATGACTCTTTGGTACTGTGATTTCACAGTTTCAATGTGTACTGTCCGGCATGCTGGCTGGCTGTTTTAACATGTTTTCTCTTTTCCCTTTTATTATAAAGACCAACTTGGCAAGTGCAAGACAAAGCAGATGCTAACAATGTGGCTTACACAACCGGGAAACTCTCTTTTCACACCGATTACCCTGTTTTGCAGCATCCACCTGGGGTAAGGTGAATCTACTAGCTTTTTCACAACACAAAAGGGGAAAGGGAAATGTCCTATAGTGTGAAATATGGTTAGCATTCAGCCACTCTGAATTTTGTCTTAAAAGAGTAAAGTGAAAATACAATATGCTAATCTGCCTATAACAATCTATATACACATGGGTATGCAATATATACATTATGATATAAGTTCTGCATAACGAGCCCATTATGTATGCCATAATTTTTAAATGGAAACTCACAAAGTATTGAGAATATTACCGTATGAGAAAGCATTAGGGTCCTGTATGTGCTTTTGATGCTGCTTTCATTATATTGAAGAAGTTGGGTGTCTACACCCTGTAGTCAAGTTGTGACGTTAGGACACATCTGTTCACCTCAGGAGGAGAACATATTAGAAGAAATATGATTAAGATGTTATATTCTGTTTTCTATAAATTGACTGAAATTAGACCCTTATCTACCCTTTCATAATTAGATAAAAAAGGGGCATTTTGTAAAGGTGGACAACAGCCACAGAAAATACATTTTCACCTGGTCCCTGTCATATCACAGCCTAATCCACATAATTCACCAGAGAACTGAAAAGTAGGATGAACAGGTACAAAGAAACAAAGATAACCCTGGCAAAGTTCGTATCTATAAGCTTCATACGTACAACTTCCCCTTCTCATGTTGTGGAGTACTTTGTGTCAGTTGTTTCTATAATTAAACAAAAAACCAGTGTGATTTATCCACAAGTAAATGCCAAATACTTCACACTAACATCACCTATTAAAACCGTTTAGATGCTGTTCATTAATGTGGAGTAAGGATGGAATAGGGCTTAATTAATAGATTTCAGTTTCCCCCTTCATCACCATCATCAAGGTCTGCGGGTCCAGGTGAGGAGATTCTGGACTCTGCTTCTCGTCTCCTGGTTTTTTTTGTTTTTTCTCCTACTGGTCTCCGAAATAATTCACCATCATGGAAGGGAAAGGTGAACGCTGTTACCATGGGTATGACAGAGGTATTTTGTGTAGTTTGGCTGAGATGAACAGTTACACTTTGTGTGACGCTGGGCTTTCTAATGCCGCGGGGAGTTTTACTGCCTGTGTCAGCAGCTCAGATTTACACTGGTGCAACCAAGAGCCCAGGTTAGACTTTCTGCTCCGTCTTACGCCTTGGCAATTTCACTGTGAAGTGAAATGAAACTGTCTTAATCCTACTTTATGATAGAGACACTGGGCCTGTTGCCTTCTACGAGAGCCACCTTTTCCCCTCCGTGAGCAGATAATTCACAGTAGGTTTTGTTTCTGCAAGAGAAAACTAATCCTCCTTGTTGAATAAGACCGCAATGCATTTAAAATTATGTGACTGCCACAAAGAGGGACTCAAAGGAAAGAAGCGAGACCAGAGCTTTGCAGCTGACTCGCAGGTTGCAAGAGTTAGAAGATATCCCAAATGGGATGGATTTATGAACATGCTACTTTAATTTTCTGCCTGTGTGATAGTGGTGGCAGAGTGCGGTGAAGCTGCAGTAATGGGAACTCAGTCTTTTGCTGAAAAAAAAAAGAAAAAAACCAAACAAACCAGAACCACAGATATGAAGCCAACTGATACTAATGAACTGTTAAATATGCAAGCTAATTCATCTGGTAATGAGATGTTAATTCATTCCAGGTTCAGTTTCTCCACTGTATAAAGCAAACAGCTGCAGGAGGCGAAAGTGGAGTTGTAGATGGATTTCACGTATCCAACAAGCTGAAAAAACAAAATCCTCAAGCGTATCAGATCCTGTCCTCTACCGCTGTAGACTATACAGATGTTGGGGTGGACTACTGTGATTTTGCTATGCAATGTAAACAAAGGATTATAGAGTGAGTAGTTTTAACAACATCGAAAAATAAACCCCTGCGATATGGTGGATTACATGTTGGTAGGAGAAGGTCTGCTCCTGCCACCTTGTGGGGAAACACTGGTTTAACTTGGTCTGTAGTTATTTTGGGTTTGGGGTTTTTTTGTTGTTTAGTTGGGTTTTTTGCCAGTGCATTACTTGTTCTTTGCTTTGTACCGCCCCAGCATCGTGGTTCTTCTTTGGTTTTGCCACACACCAGCAAGAAGTGGGCGTAGTTAGAGCAACTCCTGGGTACAGACACAGGTTAACAGCAGCTGGGTCTGTTACTAAATTCCAGCCAATGTACATCTGTATCGTGCCAAAGAGGGGTCATAATTTGAAGCGTTTAGATTAAGAACTATATATTGTAAAAAGATCAAATGCCAATGATCATAATCTCGTCTGAATTTAAAGAGTTTACAATTCTACAATTAAAGTGTATAGAATATAGATGTTTGAGGAAATCAAGTGTCTACACTTTCTCCTGATTATCCCTTTTCCTAGTTAGGCTTAATTATCAAAAGCCAACCCAATAACAATCTGAATTTCACCATAGAAACATACTGAAATTCCAGCAGGAGAGTTCAGTTGCTGTTTAACCGTCTTAAAATGTTTCAGTAACAACATAATACATTCCTTTTCCTTTCCTTCTCTGTTTCATAGCGTGGATTCCAGAGGCCAAGCAGTTCGCATCAATTATAATAATGCAACAAGAGACACAGTGTTTGACATACCAGCTGAAAAAGTGAGGCCGTTTTATGCAGCTCTAAAGGAATTTAATGATTTATTAAACAGCGCAGAACACAAGTTTACTTACAAGCTGAAACCAGGTCAGTAAGTTGCTTCTCTTCGCAATGATTTTTCACAGGTTTTCCTAACAGTCAAAACACTTGAGCATTGTTAGCACTGGTACTAAGAGGAAATTTCAGTCCTTCTATCACCTATTTTATTTCATACTGCATCTTTACATTCATCTCATAGATCTCTTTTGCCATTGTTACAGTAAAAAGAAAAAAAAAAGGCAGGACAGGAGGGAAATAGAGTCTATCTATTGATTAGTCCAATGTGTCTTTTCACTACACCAGAAACCCATATCATATAGGAAACTGTAACTTGTCATATCAATAGCACCACAGATGGGCAATATCATGTGTAAGACTGCTGTGCCATCCCAATTCGGTGTCTGTTCATTAAATGATACACAGTCGCATACTCTTTCCTCTGCTTCATTTGATGCAGAGTACGAACATTAAGCCAAACGATACGTCTTGCTTTATGACACTTTAATTTGTTAGTTGGGCACCTTCCCAATGGCTGCAGGAGTTGCAGAACATCTAGAAGAGGACACAGATGCATAATGTGCATAACGCTGAAGGAAGCTGAACAGCACCGTGGGGAATTCAGTTATCGTCTTTGCTTAGACACTGAGTGCCGGCGTAATGCTGGATGAATTAATAAGGCCACTGCTGCTCTGCTGCTTTTTCTGGGTGGCCTATGCAAGACATCTGGAGGTAGATTTGCAGAAGTGCTAAGCGCTCTAGCCTTCAGCTAGAGTTGTACAGGGCTGTGTTTTGAACATAAAACATGCTGCAAAAATGCCCTTTACTCTTTAAAAGTCAGTCCGTGCATCTATTTAACTACTTTGGCCTTAATCCCTGTTCTTTCATTCCCCAGCTGTGAAATAAAGATACGAATAGTCTCTCATCTCTCAAGAGATGTTACAAAAGTAAATTCATTAGTGCATCTGACTGCCTCATGTACTGTGATGCTAGTGTCTTTAAAATGTCTATGAGGAAATGAATCTCTCTCTATTGGAAACATGCAATAAAATAATTTATAAGATCACATAATAAATGGTAAAACAAAGTACCTCACATTACATTAGTACCATCCATCCCATCAATTAATGCACCTAAATAGTTGTAGAGGGGAGGGGGAGAAGGAAAGAAAGACTATAAGGTTTTTTAATTAGAGATTTATCATAACAGTGGCACAGAAGGGAGAAAAATTAAAATGGCATGCTAGCCTTAATTATGTGATTTCCTAACTTTCAATGGCTTGACTTTGTTCTCATAAAAGTCTCTTAATAGGGATAGGAACAGAGGATGCGTATAGTACAAATAGTACCAGACTGATGGAATGAAAATCATCCTAGTGGCTTTCACCCTTTTTACCCTTCTTGTGGATTTACTGTAGTTGCCTTTCCCCTCAAGGCCTGCTTTTCTCAGCGTGGACTCCCTACCACTCTGCTGTTTAACCCCTGCTTATACAAGGAAAAAAAAAAAGGTTGAAAGGGACCTGCCCTCTCTGGTTGAGAATGACCAGCTAAATTAAAATTACTGTGTCGTTGCTGCATACCTCCAGCCGAGCTACTTGGAGTTATTGCTCTCGAACTGTTGATATAAATCCATCTCCATGTTATCTGTTTGAAGGAATCAACTATAGCATACCAAATATTAAAATTTGTGCAATCTCTTTATAGGAGACATAGTGACGTTTGATAACTGGCGTGTGCTTCACGGTCGCCAAAGCTACCAGTCGGGATCAGAAGTGACTCGTCACCTGGAAGGTGCCTATGCAGACTGGGATGTGGTCATGTCAAAGCTCCGGCTCCTCAGGAGGAGGGTCCTGAATAGGGACTGAGCTTTCTTCTAACTAGAATGAGCAAAACCTAGATTGTCTAACCTCAAAAAAAAAAAAAAAGTGTTTTCAGAAACTAACATCACGAATATATTTGAGTTCCATAAGCTAAGAAACCTGTTGTTCATAACAATTTATCTGTGCCCTGGTCTTTGACTCTATAAAATGCATTGCTACCTCTGTCAGTTTATTTGCTTTTCAAAATCAGTGCGCAAAATGGCTTGAAAAATTATCACTTAACTAGGCTGACTGGGTATCACAATGCTTTAATTTTTCTCTACAAATATACCTGCCCTCCCTAGAAAGCTTGGAAGGAGCATCAAAAAAGAGCTCATAAGTATTACCTACTAAAGATTTGTTATGAACAGCACCTTCCTCTGTTTTCAGAGAGGCATTCTTTATTGCATAAATCATAACTAAAAATCATGATCAAAATAAGCAACCACTGCTGCAGAGTTATTTTTATATACACACCTTTCTAGGTAGAACTCCACTTTAATACAAGATCTCATTCAACAGATGCTGTATTCTGTACATCCCGCTGTACATGTGATGACTATCACAGCCACAGCCAACTTCTACTACATTTCTAAGTCCATAAGCCCATAAGCTCAGAAATCATAGAGCTACCAGAGAATGCGTCGTATTAATTTTCCTCTGCATTAGGAATAAAATAAATCTCAGTGCAGAGGTGGCAGATGGGGTCAGAAATCCCATCAGATGCTGTGCAGAGATGTAACTAAGATCTGCAGGGCAGACAGGCTTTTGAGTGAAGTCGGGAAGAGGAATGCTGATGCCGCTTTTCAGCTAGAAATCACAAAGCACAAGGGGTGGTTGTTGACACCTGACAGAAAAGTGGCGACTGAACTCAGATCCATTTTCGTTTCACCAAGTACAAGAGCACGCCTCCGACAGACTTGGTCTGCAGGATATTTTCCTCTAGGTTGCATCCTGAATAGAGATCATGTTATGTAAAAATTACTGCGGCCAAAGTAGTGGGGTTTTCCCTATATTCTGATGCCAAATTGAAAGAGAAAGAATTTTTAAATACTTGTTTTTATACCCAACACTATGTCCACTGAGTTTATTCTTTACTGCCCTTATAGCTGCAGAGTTAACAGGACGCCCTCTCACCCATGCCAAGAGCTGAGAAAATAACCACACCTCCACCCTCAGATATGCTCTGTTCAACTGTTTATTTTCAAACTATTCCTTGAAAGTCAGATAAATCCTAGTCTCTTCTTAGTAGGCTAAACCAGTAGAACTACAACTACAGAATTAAATAACTGTTGAACTAAATTTGTTGACACAAAAAAACCCAACATAAGTGAGACCCTAACATGAGCTTGCAAACACTTCCATAGCTTCTTCTCATCATTTACAGTCAACAGGTATCTCAGCTGAATAATCACATAAAACTAAATTAGGATTTGGTCATGACCTAGCATAGCGTGGTTCGACTCCATTCCTCTTTAGTAAGTAGTGAAATGTTTTTATCAAAGTTTTGACATTAAGACATAGCGCAACAAAACTGGCTTTTAGTGGTAATTTGATTTCTCGGTGCCTCCTTTAATAATTAACTTTGGAAACATGAGGAAAGTATTTTTTACCTTTGCTATAAAAGGGGGAAAAGATGAGGAAAGGCTAATACCTGTATTCTGTAAGACACCAGCAGTACTGTGCTTTAACTGTGATATTTTCCATATAACAATTTATAACTTTAAAACAAGACATCTTGGGGTTTATACCAATGGTTAATAGGAAAGAGATATTTTCTGCTTTTATTCTGTACTTTTCTAAAAATGGTTTTATTCAAATTTCTGTTTATTAAAAGCTATTCTGGAACTGATTACTGCTCTGGGCTCATATCTAATCTCACACATAACATCTTGCCCACAGATAGGAAGTCATTATTGTTATTTACAAATGTTTGTAAATATGATTAGACCTGGATCCATTCAGGTTTGTCCCATATACTTAACATATAGTTACAGTACAACTAAACCCATAACTTTGAACAGCTGAGGGGAAAACAAACAAACAAAATTAATCAAGGCTCTCAATGGATCTAATTTTGCACTGCTGGGATTTTTCGTCAGCGAAGTATGCCCTATTAAAAACTCGCACAAGAGACCCCTGAAGTTCATACTTTGTGCCTGAGATATGTTGTACTTTATATACCCACACCTTCTTGAAGTGTCCACATTTCCCCAAAATATGTAATCTCAATGTTAAATAAATAACATAAAAATAATTAAAAATAAGGCAGCTTTGCAGATCGCAGGCATATGCCACACACACAGACAAGATGGGTGGGTGGAGGAGTGCAGTGGCTCCAGGTTCCCAACAGCACGGTCACTCTGCTTGCATGCAATTTGCAGCGTATAAATCCTTTAGTGTTACATATAAACATAATTCAAGCTACTATATATTCAACAAAGCATTCCGTGCAGAATAGAGTGTAAATAATGATAAAAACTGTGCCTCAGTGGAAATGTGAAGCCCTGCACAAACAGAATCTAATCCCTGCAACACCTCCAGGAGCTATGGCGTGATATCCAATTTAACTGGGAAAGGGTCAGATACCCACCCAAACCTGATGCACAATCAAAACTTATGTTTCTGGCTGCCAATCCTCTGCTCAACTTCTAGGATCGAGCTACTATCTATATCACAAATTTTAATTTCAAACACGTTTGCATATTACTATAGTTGTGCTGGGAAAAGAGAGCATCTCTGTAACTTATCTGCAAAGTAGATTTCCTGATGACTATACTGGTATCCGGTCAGGCTAAATAATGGAGGAAGCCCAAGATGGATTTATTTCCCCTTCATCTCCAAACCCACACCAAAGAATGACATTGCCAAGCTTTCAGACAGGTCTAGCTTCCGATCTGCCCGCAGTACTGGCAGGGGCGGGTCACCCAGCGTGGGGAGCCCAGCCTTCATAGGCCACCGGGCCCAACGGTCTCTACCACCTTATAGCAGCAAGAAAAATTAGCTGGTAATAGGTGTTCGGAGGACAACTCTGAAGAAGGTTTGGGCTGTATCCAGAGGCTGCTAATGGACATGATTTCACTTAGCTGGTTGTAGTCCAGAAGCTATAACGCCACGTGACCCGTGTGCTGTTCATGATACATCAACTGTCCAGGCTCTGCTCAGCAACTGGCCGCATCGAGTGGGCTCGCAGCACAGGCAGAGAAACAGGAAAAATACGTATCCATTTTATTATTTGCAAATGCCTTTTCTCTTTTGTCCTAGCTTTCTTCTCCTCCCATTGCATTTTGTAGCAATGGATGTTTGGCTCCAATCCCATGGCATTGTTTTCATGTACAATTTTTTAAATACCTTTTTTATATATCAGATTTCCAGCTAGTTTTTAAAAGCAAGCAGCGCCTTGGGCATTTCAGTACGCTCACATCTGTGGATCCACTCACTCTGTGGATCACTTCGGCACAGTTCCGCTTCAGCCACTGCTGAGCTACCTGCAGCACCTGCCAACTCCTGCTGGCTGGGCGGACAGCGAACCCGAGTCCAGGGAGATTTCCAAATGCCTACTGTGGGAAGAAAGCTGGATTAGCTGCACAGCTTTGCAAGTTGAAATATACTGCTTTCTATATGTCCAGCAAATTAAATGCAGCCTTTCATCACATGTGCAATATATTACCCCTGGAAAATATGTATTTATTCTGTACTGTATTTTTCTCTGACACAAATCAGAGAAGGCATTTAGCGATCTTCTCTCAAATTCTCCCTAAGGCAAATGAGTTTTTATTCTAATCTACATGTTCCTAAAACTAACTGCCAGTTTAGGGCAAGTCCATATTTGAAAGTTTCATGTTGGAACTCTGAAATCACTTTTGCTAAAAGCTCACGTAATAAATATATTTTATACACACATTTTAAACTTACAGCAAAAGATCCCCCCACCCTGTTGTGCCAGTCCAGTAGTGCCAAAAAGATGGTAAAGACCGAGATGGAGAAGGAGGACAAAAATGCACCTCCCCTTTAAACAAAAAATAAAACCAATGAACCAAACAAAGAAAAAATCCAACCCACAGCAAAACTAAAAGGAAAGTAAATCAGAACTGCTCATAAGAAACCTATTTTCCACATAATGTCTGCTTCAACTCTAGAAAAGGACATTGTCAAAGGCAGGGAACCAGCTACAGGACCTCTAGAAAACAGCCAAAGTAACATCAAACTTTAGCTAGAGCACAGACGTGGCAGCTATATGGGATATTTCTGGCTGAAACCAATCTCAGTATTGGACGTGGGATGAGATCTAAGAGAAGGGAGAGGGGGCATTTTGCAGCCACCCTTTCCCCCCGGTGCTGGACGGAGGGGCGGGCGGGAGGGTGGCACTGCTCCTCGGGGAGGGGTGAGGCGCGTCTCCCAGTCTCCTGCAGCACCTCCTGCGGGGCCGTGCTGGGGAGCAGGAGGAGGGGCTGGACCAGCCAACGAGCTGCTGGTTTGCCCGGCTACTTAAAAGGATCTTCAGCAGAGCCACGGCAATTCAGAGTGGCCCCAAGGCTGCTCCGCATTGTGCCGAGGGCATCTGGTCAACCAAAGGATTAGGAGCTGCTTTTGTAGTGTTTTGTAGGGTACAAGCTGGTTTAGTTAGCAAAATACGTTTGAAGTCAAATGTTTTATGTATTTCTAGTTTCTTTAATATGTAAAAGTGCCCAATGACTTTAAAGCAGGCAGAGGATTTTCTTTGTTGCCATGCCACGATACATCTCTTTCCCCATTAGCTCAAACAGAATGAGACAGGAGGTCTAAACATGTGGATAGCAGAGCGTGGTTTCTCTATCGTCCTTTCTTTCCAAGCAGTCATTTAGATCAATAACCACTCGTGTTGGCAATAGTCGAGCTGTGCATCTCTTTCAAGTTATTTTTGGAAGCATTCAAAGCAGCAAAGATCACAGAGCAATGGACATGGAGAAGATACAGCGATTTTCAGAGTATGTCATACTCAATTTCTGCAATCTTGGCCTGCTTTTTTTCTTTAATCAAACAGGATTGTCGGTATGAAAATGTGCTAAGGGCCATATAATGCCCTT